ATGAGCAATAATAATCTTCAAAATCTTGGTGCGCCTTATACTCCAGTGCATCTTATACTCCGAAAAATATGGTACTCCTCAGAATTCTGCCAATTGAAGTCCATATCCATGAAAGTTCCACATTTGGGAAGGTTGCAGTATTGCTGATTTTTATTATTAAAATTATCTTGTGTCCTGGAGGCAGTTTAAAGATTATTATTGCTCATGTGTGAGCACAACTTAGACTTGTCTACTCACACTTCCTCTTATCTTTCTTTTGTAGGTACAGTTCACATGCTTCAGTATTGAAAACAGGTAAATGCCCTTACAGGTTTATCTCTAGTCTAGAGCAGGCTTATTCCAGTAGTCTTTGACTTACAACTGCCGTTGAGCTCAAACTTTCTGTTGTTAAGTAAGACAGTTGTTAAGTTGTGCTCCATTTCATGACCTTTCTTGCCACAGTTGTTAAGTGAATCACTGCAGTTGTTAAGTGAATAACACAGTTGTTGAGTGAAAATGGCTTCTCCATTGACTTCGCATGCCAGAAGGTCACAAAAGGGGATCACATGACCCTGGGACAGTGCGACTGTCATAAATGTGAGTCAGTTGCCAAGCGTCTGAATTTTGATCACGTGACCATGGAGATGTTTGCAACAGTTCTAAGTGAAAAAATGGTCATAAGTCACTTTTTTCAATGCCGTTGTAACTTCAAACAGTCACTGAATGTTATAAATCAAGGATTATCTGTAATTATATAGTTCCTTGAACCGAAATTCTGTTTCAGTTTGAATGAGCCATGATGGCGCAGTGGTTAGAGTGCAGTACTGCAGGCTACTTCTGCTGCTGCCAGCTGCCTGCAATTTGGTAGTTCTAATCTCACCAGGCTCAAGGTTGACAGCCTTCCATCCTTCTGAGATCGGTGAAATGAGGACCCAGATTGTTGGGGGCAAGAGGCTGACTCTGTAAACCGCTTAGAGAGGGCTGCAAAGCACTGTGAAGCAGTATATAAGTCTTAAGTGCTATTGCTATTCTCCTTTTGAGATCAAAAACAGGATTGAGAACTTAAGAGTGAGGAATTTCACACTGAAGTTTTGCTTCCCCATTAAAGCTGGGTCTCTCTTTTTTTTTCTCCTCCTTTCCTCAGGATCAGACAGCTCAGTTGCTGATCCCATCGCTTTTCCTTCGGAGGCATTGCAACGTCTGGTTGTCCTTTCTCACAATCACAGCCAGGAATGTGGCTTCATCCCTAATGTGAAGACTGCTTTGCTGGAGCAGGAGAAAGTCTGCAGCCAGCTGGAATGGGAGTGTCCAGCTGGTCATACCTTCACCTGGAGTCCCCCTGCCTCAAAGATTAGCCCACCACCCTTTGGCCAAACAGTTTCTGATGGCAGACAGGAGCAAGAGGAGGAAACAATCACTTCCAAGCGTAGCCCCCCACCCTCCCCGGTCACCAGATGCCGGCGCTCCCTTCGCAAGGCAGCAGCAGCCCATGCCATTTCATTAGCACTTGCTTCCAACTCGCCCTGTCCTGTGGATGAGCCAGAACCATCTTTCCAAGAGGAGGAGGAATGTGGAACAGACAGAGAGAGGACCACGTGTATGTCTCCTCCCAGTGGCACAGGTCTGGACAAGGAGACAGAATTACTGTGCAATACAAATTCAGATGAAACAGGTGAGGAGAGTGGATGGAGGAGCCACTGATGGAATTGGGAGGCTGGAAAGCTAGGCTTGTGTTGGGCAAAGATGACAGATTGGTAGCATATGCAGAGCATGCAGGAAGGTGGCGCGACTACAGGGCAGAGGTGTGCCAGGGTTGGGTTTTTCTTGTGGGATAGCTGGGTTGTGGCTAGAAGTTTATTATAAAGTTTTGTAAATAACACTTTTACTGTGTGTCCAGTAATCTGTATAAATATAAATGGCTGTGCGTGCGTGCGTGCGTGCGTGCGTGCGTGCGTGCGTGCGTGTGTGTGTTTCAGCATAACTCTGGAACGCCTTGGGCAATTTCAACCAAACTTGGTACACAGATGACTTACTCTTTGGAAACAAATACTGTGGGGGTAAGACAGGGTTTGTGTGTGTGTGTGTGTGTGTGTGTGTGTGTCTGTTAAGATATAGCCTGTTCTGCCTTAAAATGGCTTCTACCGTACTGTTGTAAAATGGCTTCTACTGTACAGCACAATAGAGTTGCCATGGTACTCCACAAGGGGGCTCCCTCTGGTAAGGGCGAAAATCTAACATTTGAAATTATGTTTGGTCTGGACGTTTTCAACAAAATCAGGGTTTTTCCTGTCTAATTAGGATGGATAAATACCCGGGTTATCAGCTAGACCTAAATAATCTTAGTCCAAAATTACTAAGAAAGAGAAAACCCTACAAAATACCAGCGAGGAAGCAATACCTTTCTTCCTCCCCCCCCCACCCTAAAATTAAGACACTAGTTTTTACAACAATGAGGGCGAGAGATGTGCATTTTGAAAAAGAACTGACGTTGGAAGTAGGAGATATTGAGATCAGAAGACCATGTCACTGCTCTTGAATAAAGAACCAAACAAATGAACTTATAGGGAGCACTAGCTTTTACTCACCAAACATATATTCTGGGGGAACCAGAAAGAAAGGAAGTCCTTTGTAGTTTTCAAAAATATTTCTGTCTGATCCCCTAAAGGAGATTCTTGCTCACCAGTGCTAACCAGGCAAGAGACTATTAAAAGCAAACCAAGTAGATGTCTGTATTTTTTAAAAAAGAAATATGGTCTAGGGCAGGGGTGTCAGACTCCATTGAGGGCTGCATCAGGGTTGTGTTTGACCTTGGGGGGGCATGGATAGGGTGGGCAGCTCGATATCACTACTCTCGGGTGCGTCTGGTGGTGGCCCGAGTGCTCTGCCAGTGAAAACGGTCTCCAGAGCTTTGTTTTCGGCTGCCACAGCCTCCTGCAACCTTCTGCCAGTGAAAACAGAACTTGGGAGGGCTACGTGGGGCCAGTCCCTCTAGGTTTCCAGGGTGGCCCTGTGGGCCAGATCTAAGTACCCTGCGGGCCGGATCCAGTCCCTGGGCCTTGAGTTTGACACCCCTGGTCTAAGGAAATAGTTTTGGAAGGGATTGTATGTCCAGTTTTGAGCTTCAGCATTCAAGCTCCTTTTAAATGACTACCTTAAAAAGAGCGCAGTTTTGTTGATTCTCTTCTCTCCGTCTGACTGACACTGCTGTGTTTGCTCTTGTAGAAGCTGCACCAGATGAAATTCCAGGGAGCACTGAAGCTCCGGGACCTGAAAGGTACATTTCTTCTCTCATGCCATCATAGCAGGGTCCAAATGGAACTTGCTTGCCATGCTATGTGTTGAGGGCAAATGGCTTTCAGATTTACAAGATTGATGGTGACTTTTGTAAAAATGACACTTGCCAAAGAGACGTGGTGCAAAAGACATCTTGGAAAGACATTGAGGAAGAATAATGATTCCAGGGATTTGTTGTGAGCCTCATAATGAACATCCACAACAATTCTATACAAAAATCTGTTCCTGGTTTTCCTTTGTGTGTGTCGTTATTTTTGTGGGGTAGAATAAATTCCTGAAATTTTTAAACTTATGTCCTTAAAGCATTGGGGCTTGGCCATTTTTAATGATTGATTGATTGGTTAGTTGATGTCAACTTTTAGCAATCTGTTCTGACCCCCCTCCATCCGGTGATTAACAGCACAGGCTTACTGTTAGCCACATTTTATTCACAGCAATTACAATCCTGTTGGCTGAAAGCCCACAAACTACTCACAGGCAAGACGTTGGCAACAACCCAGACTCCCACAGACAAGAGATACAAGAGCTTCTCCCTTGTTATGAATGGTTGTGTCCTGCAAAAGGACTCCTCCCAAAGTCTCTTCTTATATACTCTCTTGGGAGGGGCCAAGCCACAACCACCTGGGCTTGATTATCTCTTATGAGTCTGTCTCCGTAATTGCTGCCTCTGTTACTCTGCCCTACATTGCCTGGAGTCAGGGACTAACTCCCTTTGATCTTCCCTGTTGCTCCATGCCTCAGGCGCCTCCTGCTGGCCAACCAGCCTCTCTGGTCCCTGCTCTGAATCGGAACCCTGCCCAGGGTCCTCCACATCTTCCATAGCAGACTCATAGAGTTCCTCGCTATTGGTGTCTATAGGCAGCTCCAACGGCTCCTGTTGGGCCACAACAAGTTAGTATCATTTCTGTGTCCAGGATGTTCCATGGCAGAGGAGGGTTTGTCTATTTTATAGACGCTTCAGGCAAAAGACCAATGATAAAACTTACACAAGTGGGAAATTATTCTGAGC